TGATACCTAACACACAAATGGTCAACATTTTCAAAATTTATAAATAAAATATCAGGCGAATGAAATGTCCGATTTTCACACAAAAGTCAGGGTCCATTTGACCCGCTAAATAATGACCGATCTTTATCAATTCCCTTCCCTTCTCCATGTAAAAATTCGCGATGTTTGTAGCATAATTGCGGCCTCTGGAGCGACCTGACAAAAATTAAGTACTTCGTTCATTTCATCCCCTAAATATTAACCGATCTTTACCAAAAACAATAGGGGTCTTCATTGGCCAGAACCCATCGTACATGCAAAATTTCGTGGCGATTGATCCATAACTGTGGCCTGTATCGTGTTTACAAATTATAATGGACAGACGGGTAGACGGACGGACACATATGTCTAGTTCGACTCAGCTAGTCGAGATATAACGATCTAGGACCAATATTTCGCGGCGTTACAAACTCTTGGGGCTGCACAAAGCTATAATACCCTGACAACATTGTTGTGTAGGGTATAAATATTCCAAACGATTCGAGGGGTAATCAAAACACTTTTTCCTTCAGATGTGTGCTAATTACGTGACCGGCACTGTATATGGAAATTATATCCAAATCTGAACCGATTTCTAACTTTAGTACGTTGTACAAAATTGTATGCCACTCGGTCATATTTTGGCTCCTTGGTGCATCATTTACTTCAAATCAGACCGATTTCATCGAAACTTTACACACGTTAGTCTATAGTTACATCAGTACGTTGTGCAAAATTTTGCGGCAATCGGTCTAACTTTGGGTCTCTATTTGCATAAAATCGGATGTAATTATATATGACAGCTGTATATAAATTTACAGCCGATTTTAATAAATCTTTCGCATACATGAATCAGTACACTGTGCAAAATTCTGTGTCAATCGGCATAACTTTGGATCTTTGATGCACCATTTACATAAAATCGGACGAAAATTTACATGAGAGCTATATGTAAATCTGAACCGATTTTCCGTGGGCCAAATAAATGAGCTGTACCAAATATCATCCAATTCTGATCAAACATGCGACCTGTATTTTGTTTACAATTTAACATGGACTATCGGACGGACATGCAAAAATCGACTCAGAAAGCGATATTTTGCACATACTTCCGAACATTTGAATAATACCCATCGATTTCTTTTAAAAAATATTTTTATTTTGAATTTTTACATAATGTCACTTTATTTTGTTCAATTTTGAAAATTGTATTTATAGTTTTTTACAACTCTGCACTTAAAAAATAAATAACGATACTTAACGTCTACGAATATTACTACTAGATGTCACTGCGGTGTCTTAAAATTCTAAGCTTCTCAGTTCACGTCCTCCCCTCCGCGCTTATGATGTTACACATCTCTTGGCCATGGGAGTGACGGGCGATGCTGAACGCACCCGCTGCATCTGTTTCTTCATGTGATCCATGTGCACCTTCAGTTTGCGGGTAAATGAAATTTGACGATTAATATTGATTAGCTCTTCGACATCGTATTCCGTTATGTGATCCACTGAATAGGAAACCAATTCCTGAGTCAAATTCAATTTACTCTTCGACAGCTTCAGGAGACGTCCTTGCGATTTGCGCAATTCCTCACGATAGACAAACAGCATATAAGGGATGTTATAGTTGCTGGAACGTTGTGATTCGGTGGAAGTAGTTTTGGTGGAGGTGTTGCTGGCGCCCAACATTTGTTCTTTGTGTTGCATTTTATTTTGAGAATTTTTTTCCGATTTTTTACAACTGCTGTTGTTGAGTGCTGAAAGTGCTTTGGGAAAATGATGCTTAGACACCAGTCTGCTGAGGGTATTTATAGCAAAAATTCCTAAATTCTGTCGCTTACTTAGTCCTGCAGGTAGTTGGTATTAAAATTTACTACACAGGTAGTCAGGCGATTTAGGAAACAAATATTACGCTAAAACAAGTGATCCGGAAAGATTAATATTGTCTTACGGTTCCTTGCAGGCCGGTCAGAAATTCGCAGGCGCTAAGGGCTCTCCCCGTGGCTGACTTCTGTTGCAAAATCACAGGTAAGGATTAAGATTTTACCGCTGTGTCCAGCACGCGTTTTACACGCATGTGCCATACGCGCTTGATCTCCTACCCAGGGATCTATCACAATATTTACAACTTTAATCTCTTGGATTTTTATATTTCACAGCTTTGGATTAATTTTTAGAGGGAGAGATTTATTTTCATGAGATTAAAATTAAAAGGAAAAAAGTCATTAGTCATTGTAAGGTAAGGGATGATGCCAAGTCAGGACATGAATTACACCAAGTGGTCATGAATTGGCTGATATTTTTGAAAGAAGGATCCACCGGATGGATCCTCCCAAGTCCCAAGGAAACTCAATTCAAATAGAACATCCTCAAAGGAACAGTTTCATCAATGGACCAACAGATCGTAGATTTTGGCGTGGATTTATTAAAGAATATTTTTCAAGGTTCGATATGAAGAGGCGTGGATTTATTAAAGAATATTTTTCAAGGTTCGATATGAAGAGGCGTGGATTTATTAAAGAATATTTTTCTAGGTTCGATATGAAGAGGCGTGGATTTATTAAAGAATATTTTTTCTAGGTTCGATATGAAGAGGCGTGGATTTATTAAAGAATATTTTTTCTAGGTTCGATATTAAGAGGCGTGGATTTATTAAAGAATATTTTTTCTAGGTTCGATATGAAGAGGCGTGGATTTATTAAAGAATATTTTTTCTAGGTTCGATATGAAGAGGCGTGGATTTATTAAAGAATATTTTTTCTAGGTTCGATATGAAGAGGCGTGGATTTATTAAAGAATATTTTTCAAGGTTCGATATGAAGAGGCGTGGATTTATTAAAGAATATTTTTCAAGGTTCGATATGAAGAGGCGTGGATTTATTAAAGAATATTTTTTCTAGGTTCGATATGAAGAGGCGTGGATTTATTAAAGAATATTTTTTAGCCCCCGTAGAAGAGGCGTGGATTTATTAAAGAATATTTTTCAAGGTTCGATATGAAGAGGCGTGGATTTATTAAAGAATATTTTTCAAGGTTCGATATGAAGAGGCGTGGATTTATTAAAGAATATTTTTCAAGGTTCGATATGAAGAGGCGTGGATTTATTAAAGAATATTTTTCAAGGTTCGATATGAAGAGGCGTGGATTTATAAAAGAATGTCAGGGATAACTTTTCTGAGCAGTGTGAATAAAAATGGGACATTCCGTCATATCAATGAAATTAAAAAAAAATCAATGACATCGGGTTTTTAATTCAATCCTATGATCAGGAAATTTTATATTTCCGCAGTATAATCCAAAATTTCCTTACAGAGAGATTTCTTCAATAATTTTTCCCCATAAGTTAGAGATATTTATTTTTGTGATTTATTTTGCAGACAGGAAGTGTCATAATCTTCTGTGATAATCTCAACACTTCCTATGGGGGTTTCCATTAATCTCAAGAAGCTTAATCCCGTTTGGATTTTCCCCACAGATTAATTTTCGAACGTCTGTTTCAATCGTTCATAAATTCACTGGGAGTTTTTAATATTCATGGAATAAAATGGATTTATATGCGTCCTGTATTATAGGCTTTTTGGATATTCGGCCTTTTGAATATTTTCCGGATCAATTATCTCCGGCTCACCACAAATAAATCCAAATTATCACACTCCACAATATCTTCAGCTTCAGCTCGTCTATGAAAGACTCCCAGCTTCAGCTCGTCTATGAAAGACTCCCAGCTTCAGCTCGTCTATGAAAAACTCCCATCTTCAGCTCGTCTATGAAAGACTCCCAGCTTCAGCTCGTCTATGAAAGACTACCAGCTTCAGCTCGTCTATGAAAGACTCTCAGCTTCAGCTCCTCTATGAAAGACTCCCAGCTTCAGCTCGTCTATGAAAGACTCCCAGCTTCAGCTCTTCTATGAAAGACTCCCAGCTTCAGCTCGTCTATGAAAGACTCCCAGCTTCAGCTCGTCTATGAAAGACTACCAGCTTCAGCTCGTCTATGAAAGACTCTCAGCTTCAGCTTCTCTATGAAAGACTCCCAGCTTCAGCTCGCCTATAGAGACTCCCAGCTCCAGCTCGTCTATGAAAGACTCCCAGCTTCAGTTCGTCTATGAAAGACTCCCTTCAGCTCGTCTATAGAGACTCCCTTCAGCTCGTCTATGGAGACTCCCTTCGACTCGTCTATGGAGACTCCCTTCAGCTTTTCTATAGAGACTCACTTCAGCTAGTCTATGAAAGACTCCCTTCAGCCTAATCTATTACAACAGCCCAAATAGCTTCTGAATTCGATAGAATCGTAAAATTTATTTTTATGATTTTCAGGAAGCCAATATAATTTCCAATATTTTATAGTCTGGAATTTTATAAATTTGCATAGAATTTTTGCAGTTATAAAAACCGAATTCCGCATTCCATACAGCAAGTATTCTTGAGGGGATTTTCCGCAAAAAGAAATCCCAAGACCAAAAAAATCTACCAACACAAATTCCAATATTCCAAGAATGTTCCCACAAAAATGAAAAATTACCTTGCATACCTCATAAACCTCAGAGGTCTCCGGCCAAATGCTGTGCGGTGGTGTGTGTGGTTATATAAAAACCTAAAAATCTCACAAAGGCTTAAAGGTTATTGGATTTATTTTTCGCCAGTCCCGTTTCTATTGAAAACGCGAAATCTCAGCTGGAATCATGGCTCATAAAAATTAATGACCTGCTGCCAGCAATTGTCCAACAATTTCATAGTTTATTATGACGGTAATTAGTCGGATGAAGTATTCCCGTTAGAAGTTACAAGGAATCAATAAAAATCCCCGCTTTGTGTTAATCTACTAAAAAATTGTGTGTGTGAGAGTTTTTTCTCGTCCTGTTACCTGGCCATAATCCGTTTTTTAGCTCTCTATAAAATATAGGGCAGCGAACAATAGCCGCATCATTAGCAAAGTGTCATTTCTGGTGAAAACAGTTCGGACAACAGAGATTCATTCCGCTCATTATGTCAACAAAAAGTTTAAAACGTGAACGTTCCGCCACGGCCGCTACACAACCATCATCGATGTCATCCTCCAATTATTCGATACCCTATACAATTTTCATTTATCGCCAAGAACTGCGTAAGGGTCGTGACGAATTTATGCGCCTCTCCAAGGTTAAACTGCATCTCACCGATAATTTGATTGTGAATACGATACAAAATATCACCAAGTACGATGTGGCCGAAGTGATAAATATCAACGAACAAATGCAGTACAAAAAGCGGCTATTCTCGAAAATGTACAAAATCCGCAAACTGGAGAAGATGGGTTTGAAACACATCGATCCAAATCAAATAAGTGATGAATTTTAGACCGAAGGAGTCGGAAGGAGACCTGACGTGCCGCCTGTAACATAGTTATTGAAGGCGACCATTATTATTAGTTTTTTATATAGTATGCGATATATTTTTAGTGCTATCAAATTTTTATTAAGTTTAACTGTGTGATATAAAATAATGTTTAGTATAATTTTTTATAGCAAATTTATTATAAATAAATTTCTTAAGGTACATGTTTTAAAATTATATATTGGATTTTTATTAATTTAGGGGGTCTTTATAGACGAGCTGTAGGGATTCTTAATAGAGGAGCTGAATGGAGTCTTTCATAGACGAGTTGAAGGGAGTCTTTCATAGACGAGCTGAAGCAGGGAGTCTTTCATGGACGAGCTGAAGCAGGGAGTCTTTCATAGACGAGCTGAAGCAGGGAGTCTTTCATAGACGAGCTGAAGCAGGGAGTCTTTCATAGACGAGCTGAAGCAGGGAGTCTTTCATAGACGAGCTGAAGCAGGGAGTCTTTCATAGACGAGCTGAAGCAGGGAGTCTTTCATAGACGAGCTGAAGCAGGGAGTCTTTCATAGACGAGCTGAAGCAGGGAGTCTTTCATAGACGAGGGAGTTTTTCATAGATAAACTGAAGCAGGGAGTCTTTCATAGACGAACTGAAGGCAGTCTTTCGTAGACGAGCTAAAGCAGGGAGTCTTTCATAGACGAGCTGAAGCAGGGAGTCTTTCATGGACGAGCTGAAGCAGGGAGTCTTTCATGGACGAGCTGAAGCAGGGAGTCTTTCATAGACGAGCTGAAGCAGGGAGTCTTTCATAGACGAGCTGAAGCAGGGAGTCTTTCATAGACGAGCTGAAGCAGGGAGTCTTTCATAGACGAGCTGAAGCAGGGAGTCTTTCATAGACGAGCTGAAGCAGGGAGTCTTTCATAGACGAGCTGAAGCAGGGAGTCTTTCATAGACGAGGGAGTTTTTCATAGATAAACTGAAGCAGGGAGTCTTTCATAGACGAACTGAAGGCAGTCTTTCGTAGACGAGCTAAATCAGGCAGTCTTTCATAGACGAGCTGAAGCAGGGAGTCTTTCATAGACGAGCTGAAGCAGGGAGTCTTTCATAGACGAACTGAAGCAGGGAGTCTTTCATAGACGAGCTGAAGCAGGGAGTCTTTCATAGACGAGCTGAAGCAGGGAGTCTTTCATAGACGAGCTGAAGCAGGGAGTCTTTCATAGACGAGCTGAAGGGAGCCTTTATAGACAAGATGAAGGTAATATTAATAGACGAGATGAAGGGAGTCTTTATAGACGAGATAAAGAATACTTTTCAAGGATCTATAAAAGGCGTGGATTTTTTAAAGAATATTTTGCAAGGGTCTATAAAAGGCGTGGATTTTTAAAAGAACATTTTTCAAGGGTCTATAAAAGGCGTGGATTTTTTAAAGAACATTTTGCAAGGGTCTATAAAAGGCGTGGATTTTTTAAAGAACATTTTTCAAGGGTCTATAAAAGGCGTACATTTGTCAAGGGTCTATATAAGGCGTGCATTTTTCAAGGGTCTATAAAAGGCGTGCATTTTTTAAGGACTATTTTTCAAAGGCCTATAAAAGGCTTGGATTTTACAAAGAATATTTTGCAAGGGTCTATTAAAAGCGTGGATTTTTTAAAGAACATTTTGCAAGGGTCTATAAAAGTCGTGGATTTTTAAAAGAACATTTTTCAAGGGTCTATAAAAGGCGTGGATTTTTTAAAGAACATTTTTCAAGGGTCTATAAAAAGCGTGGATTTTTTAAAGAACATTTTTCAAGGGTCTAACATTTTCCAAACATCCTAAGAATATTAGTAAAGCATGTGCAAAAATTCAATGACCTCTCTTATCGGAATTCCAACAAATCGAAAGACATTTCGAAACGAACCTTGCATTTTATTCTGATCAAAAATATTTTTTTGGAATTTCCTACAAATATTTCAAGGTTTTGCAAGCGAGATGAGAATTTAAGGGACCCCCCCATTCTCGGGGTCAACATTTTTTTTTTGATTTAATTCGAATCTACACTAATTCGGGAATGTCCTGAAAATTTTCATGTGAAAATCTCAAGAACTCTTGAAGATATAGCCGATTTATTGTGTCAGCATCAAATGACGGCTAAACGGCTTCTCAAACTTTTTCTCTTTTGCGAATGGCGGGCACGATAACTCAAAAACTAATAACCCAATCTTGAAAAAATAAAATCGAGAATGGGGGGGGGGGGTTCCCTTAATACAAACTCCACCTTATGGAGTAGGCTATAAAAACTTACATTTGGTCTATTCCGGTACTGCAAGAATCTACTACTTTTTATTACGATAACGAATTTTCCTTTATGATATCGAAGAAAATAGTCAAATCTAGTAGATTCTTGCAGTACGGGAACAGACCAATTATGAACCTATAATTTACAGTTTTCAAAATTAAAACATTTCACTAACTAAATAAAAATTTTACTCTGCTAAGATATTCTCATAATGTGTTTCTCCCATAAATTCCAAGAATTCACACACTACTGATCCTGTCTGGCTGTGTTAAACCAAAAACCAAACACTTTACATTCACCAAAAGTTAGAATGTTAATCGTAAACCTTTTCCAAAGATGTTGGGTAATATAAACAGAAAACAAGGTACTCGTATTCTGAGCGTGATGGTATAAAACCCGAGTATATTAACCGAATCTCACACGCACACAAAAGGTTTTTTTTTCGAATAGGCCAAAATTGTGGTTTTATGACAGATTTACATGTAAATTAGGTAAAATTAGAATGAAATGTAGCAACAACAACAATATGAAATTACATTGTGAAACAGTGGTCACCACTACGATTTACGAAGTTATAAAAACCCTAAATGATTTCTGTTTAATTGAAATAGTCGAGTGTGGGTAACACAATTTTGAAATATAAATTTATGATACCTGCTGTTTTATTGGGTCATTTTACACTTCTTTAGTGGCGTAGTATTGAAATTGCAGTAACCATTTTTTCTGAAACACTTGATCTTTGTAAATATACATAGGATTATTATGTGCATATGTAAGGATAGGTCATTTCGTAACGGAAGAAGCACTGTTAATGCTACTTGTTTTCCAGCATACATACATATTTTTCTCATTGTGTACATCGAATGTACTTTTCACGGCACATAGGCGGTGAATGTTAACCACATTCCACATGTTTTGGTTTCCAGCTCTCTCCGTTACCTAAATCCAATTTTCCATATTTAGTTCATTTTCTATTCTATTTACACATAAATTCGAGCTTCCAAGGTTGTCTTCATAGCTGAGTACTACACTTCAACAGCAATCTAAATTTCAAATCCCAGGATTCCAGCTCTATCCATTCAACCAAATCCTAATTGTACCAAATTTAGTACCATTTAGTACTTTTCATACTCATAAGTAAAAATTTCTAAAATCCTACATTTTAACAATAATCTGTTAGATTGTACCAAATTTAATACTTTTAGTACTCATAAGTACGAATTTCTAAAATTACCTAAATTCAGCTTTCAAATAGTAATGGTAAATCCAAATTTAAGAATTCCAGCTCAATCGGTTCACCAAAAACTAATGTGTACCAGATTTAGTACCATTCTGTACTTTTCGTACAAATACTCTAAAACCTATCTCAATCCTACATTCCCACAGTAACCTAAGTTGAAACTTTCAAGATTCCAGTTCTACCCGTTCACTAAAGATCAAATTGTATCAATTTTAGTGATTTTCGTACCCATAACTACCTCAGTCACACACTCATAATAACCTTAAATCCACATTTAAGGATTCCACCTCTATTCGTTCACAAACATCCAAATTGTACCAAATTTAGTAGACGTAAGTACGATTTTCCAAAACTTCCTCAATTCCAAACTCCAACAGTAATTTTAATCATAAATTTCAGGATCCCAGCCCTACTCGTTCACATTGATCCAAATTGTACCACATTTAGTACCAGTTAGTATTTTTCGTACGTATAAGTTCAAAATTTCAACACTACATCAATCCTATACTCTAAAATTAATTTTAATTCCAAATATACGTACCATTCAGTACCATTTTCAAAACTACCTCCATTTCTCAATCCTGCACTCCAACAGTAATTTTAATAACATATTTTAGGATTCCCGACCTACACGTTTACCCAAAACAAATTGTACCATATTTAGTACCACTTCGTGATTTTCGTATCCATAAGTGCATAATTTTTTATTTTAATTCCAAAATTTAGGTTTTCCATCTCTATCCATTCACTCAAATCTAAATTGTCCAATCAAATCTAAATTGTAGCTCGATGCGTCTTCCTATATCGATGTCGGAGAATAGCTGGTACAGCTCATGGTTCATTCGACGGCGATATTCACCGTCAACGCAGATCGGCCCATAGATCTTTCGCAGAATTATTCTCTCAAACACTCCAAGAGCTGAGTTTGGTCTGGTGGGGGGTGGCCTTGCTTCTGAGTTGCTTACTCAGACCATAGTGGCATCTGTTGGCCAACACTATCCTTCTCCGAATTTCAAAACTGATACCATTTCCAAGTCAGTCCCAATCTACTGGACGTCTTGCGCGTTGATACCATCAGCTTGGTCTTGTCACCGTTTACTGCCAGACCCACTTTGACTCCTTCACGATTTGTTCAAAGGTGGCTGTTACCGCTCGCAATGTTCGACCAATTATACCTATTTCATCGGCGTAGGCGAGTAACATATGGTGTTTGGTGTACAGAGTGCTATTACTGTTCACATTTACCTCTCGTACGATCTTTTCCAGCAGGATGTTGAAAATATCACACGACAAACTGTCACCTTGTCTGAATACTCTTTCGGTATTAAAGGGCTCCGAGAGGTCCTTTCCGACTTTAACTGCTGATATTGTGCCAGTTAAAGTTATCCCGCATAGCCGAATTAATTTTGCTGGAATGCCAAACGCATACAAGGCTTTAAACACCTCTGAACGGATAGGGCTGTCAAATGCGGCATTATAGTCGACGAAAAGGTGGAATGTGTCGATGTGATCTTCGTAGGTTTTTTTTCCACGATTTGGCGAAGAGTGAAAATCTGGTCAATGGTGGACTTGCCAGGTCTGAAGCCGCATTGCTATGGTCCAATAATGACATTGACCATTGGCTTCAGTCGTTTACACAGCACGCCGGATAGCACTTTATATGCGATTGGAGGGAGACTTATTCCTTTATAGTTGGCACATATCATTTTGTCTCCTTTTTTGTGCACGGGACACAGGATGCTGAAGTTCCAATCAATAGGCATACATTCATCTAGCCAAAGTGTATTAATCAGCTGGTATTTCGTTCGGCTGGTAACACATCGGCACCTGCTGCTTTATTATTCCTCAGCCGTTTGATTGCCACTCTGACCTCATCTTGGCTAGCTGGTATACACTGTACACCGTCTTCTCTTATTGGTTCTGGGGTGTCCTCTTCATCGCTACTATTTGATACCAGAAGCTTTTCAAAATGCTCCTTACAGATACTCAACACGCTGTCTGTATCTGTCACCAGGTGTCAATCTTCATCTCTACAGGAGGATGTGCCTGCATCAAAGCCTTCGGTTTGGTGTTTTACTCATTGGTAAAATTTCCGGACTTCGTTCTGATTCCTCCATAACTTATATGCCTTTCAATTAAAATGTATTTTAAATTTTAAGAAAAACATTGTATTTAAATGTTTTTGAGGGAAATTCATCATTTTTATTAAAAATGTTTTGGGTTTTTTTTTATTAACTATAACTTTTTTGTGTGAGGTCTAAATTTCGTAAATTGAGATTTACTATATTTTCATAATTCTACAGTAATCCTTGCATTTCATTCATAAATTGGATATAAGCATCATCTTTTGAGGCGGCATTTGGAGTTTCGGCCGGCCGTGTTGTTGGTTCTTGTGGGAAAGGTTTTGTCCGATTGGGTTTGCGGGCATCGTCACGTTTAACACGCAGCGTAGATGGAACAAAACGGGTGACATCGGCACTCAAATTTCTGTAAAAGAAAAATGTAATTACTTTAATAGTTTTTCAAAAAAAAAATATATAAATAAAAAATAAATAATAGACTCAAGCACTATAAAATATTATTTTCCATTTCCCTTTATAAATTAATCATCATTTCTGGCCACTCACCTAATTTGCGGTTTAGCAGTAATAGTCGTCACACCCTTGCTATCCTTATTCTGTTGCTGCTGCTGTTGTTGCTGTTGCATTTTATGATGAGCCATACGTGGTGGCATGCCGGGCGGTGGACCTGGTATCCTTATGCCCATGCGTGGCATTCCACCCATACCTGGCGGTCTTGGACCTGGTGGTGGTCCGGGAGGCATTCTTATTCCAAATCCATGCATACCTGGCGGCCTGGGTGGTGGTCTAAACATCATTGGCGGCGGCGGAGCCATGCCGGCCAGCGGTGGAGGTACTGGATGTCCATGCAATGATATGTGAGGTTGGGGAGGTGCTGGTATATTTGGTAACGCAATAGCCACGGGGGGGATTTGTGCAGGTGTTGGTATGGCCGCCGTATCAACATCACCCGATGAATGTGTTCGTCTACGTTTCGATGCTTCTTCACCATCATTGTCCGCGTTACCTTCCTCGTCACTAAAACTACATTCAGATAAATCACTTTTGTTCTCTTCATCATCGTCGTCGTCATCATCATCCTTGTCGGAATTATCATCCCCACTCTCCTTTTTACCACCTTCTTTGGAGGGATCACTTTCACCACGACTGGCAGCCACTTTCTTTTTGTGAACATTTTCCATCTCCTTCATGAAGTCATCGATATTTTGACCCGATATTGCCAACATACGTTGTTGCAAGGAGTTGGGTTTGGGTACGGATTTGCCAGCTTTCGATTTGGAGACATATTTTTTCAGGACCACCTCATCATCCTCGGCATCGGTATCTAAATCAGACATGTCAGCCAAATTTGGTGGAGGGCCAATGGGCACTCCCATAACTTCTTTACGTTTTATCTCTTCGGGTTTTTCTGGAGGTTTGGCTGTGGGTTCATTTAGTTTCTTTAGGGTACCTGGTGGTGCTCCTGGTGCAAATGGTGGCAATGATAATGCCGTTGGTGGGGGTGGTAATCTCTTGGGACCTGTTGGAAAGGCTGCACCGCCACCACCTGCCGGTGTTTGTGTACTCGAAGGCAGAGGGATTTCATCGATTTGTACACTCTGGGCATGTTTCACACTTTCATAGTATTGTTGTTTCTTTAGCCGTTTCTTTTCATATTCCACTTCTTTTCGTTTCAATTCGGACCAATGTTCCGGATCGTCATTGTACTAGAAAGGATAAAACATAAATGTAAATAAAATCCTACTGGGAAAAGAAAAATAAAACATACATATAGCCTCATGACACGTTCAAAGGTTTCCTTTAGCTTTTTCCGTTTATCCCTTAAGACCTTCTCGTTCAATGGTGATGGCTGGAGCACATTGTATTCTAAAAAGGTAGATATAAAAATTACAAGCAAGACCAATTTAAAATTGACTTCGTGCAATCACATACCCATTTCATCGATTTTCTCCATTTCCTCCAATATCTGACTAGGATCTTTATTTTTGAGCACGGCTGCTCTTACCATTTGCCTTTGTTTCTTGTTCTTCTTCAGCTCCTTTTTACGAGCCTCCTTTCCTATAGGATACAAAAGAAATATACCACATTAGATTTATGGCCCGTTCCATGGTTCCCCAGAGCACATTGTGCCGGGGTGGAATTTTGTGTGTTCTCCACTTACTTGCTTGATCCGTGGGATTCATGTATTTACCACTTTTTGTGGTATTAATGGAACGTCGCCCCATGTTGGCGGAATTGTTTTTAATGACTTTTTTTAATGAAAAACTTAATAACTTTTAACAAATTTTCTTTCCTGTTGTGGATTTGTTGTTAAAATTCTACGTGCTGTCAAAGTTTTACGGCAATCGATTACATTGTTATCGATACGTTATAACTGAGAGGGAGAGAAAATCAAGCAATACATAAGGGTGCTTTACATTTTGTTGTCATTTTAGAAACAGCTGATGGTGTTGTGTAGTCAAGCTATTTTTACATCTGTATTATTTAAATAAAAAATAATACTAATACACGCATTTTAGAGAATAACTGCAAACATGTATATAAAATTTGTAAAAATACAAGGAAGGAAATTTATTTGCCAATTTAATCTAATAGTAGGTTTACATCTACCCATATTACCATTTACATAAAACCTGTTTAAATAAAGCTCTTCATATTGATTGTCCGCAAAGTATAATGTTGTGCTACAATCCGATTGGCCGACTTACAGCCTTTTTTGTAAATTTTTAATCGAACCAATTCGAACGAATTACTGCCAAACATTTATTTATGTACAAAATCTATTTTTATTGAAAACAAAAATAAATGGCATATTTTTAAAACCAAGGATTTCGGTGGTAAGTCACTCGAACTATTCAAGACTGGTGGTCAGATGCTGGTCAGGAACATGTACTAGGTGATTAGTACAATTTGGCTAGAGGAATACATGACCAATGATTGGAACCTCAGCATCCTGAGTCTCGTGCACAAAAAAGGTGACAAAACGATATGTGCCAACTATATAGGAATACGTCTCCTTCCTATCGCATATAAAGTGCTATCCAGTGTACTGTGTGAACGACTGAAGCCAATGGTCAACGACATTATTGGACCATACCAATGCGGCTTCAAGCCTGGCAAATTCACCATTGACCAGATTTTCACTTTGCGCCAAATCCTGGAAAAAACCCACGAAAAACACATCGACACATTCCCTCTATTCGTCGTCTATAAAACCGCATTCGATAGCTCTATCCGTTAAGAGGTGTTTAAAGCCATGTCTGCGTTCGGCATTCCTGCAAAAATTAATACGGATATGCAGGAAAGGACCTATCGGTTCCCTCTAATACCGAACGAGGATTCAGACAAGGTGACAGTTTGTTGTGTGACCTTTTTAACATCCTGCTGGAAAAGAGGCAAAGGAGAACAGAAATGGCGCACACCGACGACATCGATATAATAATGTTCACTCTGCGCCAAATACTGGAAAGGACCCACGAAAAACACATCGACACATTCTACCTATTCGTCGACTATAAAGCCACATTCAACAGCCCTACCCGTTCAGACGTGTTTAAAGCCGTTCGGCATTCCTGCAAAATCAATAGGGTTATGCAGGAAAACTTTTATTGGTACAAGGTCAACAGATAAAGTCAGACAAAAAGTCGAAAAGGACATCACGGAGCTCTTTAATACCGAACGAGGAATCAGAAAAGGTGACATTTTGTCGTGTGCAATGTCGTGTGGGTCGAACGTTGCGAGCGGTAACAGCCGCCTTTGAACAAATTGAGAAGTAGTCTGCCACAGTGGGTCTGGCAGTATATGGCGAGAATACCAATCTGATGGTATCAACGCGCAAGACGTCCAGTAGACTCGGACCAACGATGGAACTTGGGAACTACAGCTTCGAAGTATGGCGGTAACGCCATAAGTAAAACTAATGACATCAGTTTTGAAGTTCGGAGAAAGATAGCGTTGGCCAACACATGCTACTATGGTCTAAGTAAGCAATTTAGAAACAAGGCCACATTTCGCCAGACCAAACTCACGCTCTACAAGACGCTGATACTACCCGTGCTCTTGTATGGATTTGAAGCATGGGTACTTGCGCAAGCAGATGAGGCAGCTTTTGGAGTGTTTGCGAGAAAAAAGGTCACGAATTAGATGGAAAATCAAGTAGAAGACAACATTTTGGAACATGGTCTTTCAAATTGGAAGAGCTGCGCACAAGACCGACGCACCTGAAAATCTTTTTGAGTTCGGCTTATGGAACAAATGTTCTATCACAAGCCAGCTAAGTATGTAAGTAATTTTTACTTCTATAAGAATAGAACAGTAGCACTTCTAGGAACTAGATCTGGCAGGCGAAGTGAAATTTGGGTTCAGGTTTTTCAATAAAAAGTCCAGTTCCAATTTTCCTGCTAGCCGGGAGTTATCTGTATAACAACGGGTGTCAGAGCGCATTTGTGTCAGTGTTTTGCTGTCCCATGGCTCTAGACTATACAATTGGTTAACATTTTTACTCGGCTAAATTTATCGAGCAAAAAGTTTACAAATAGAATGTCACTTAGGTTATGTTAAACCCTTTCTGTGCCCATTAAACTAATAATTATGGGTACAGGAAAGGTTTTCGAGTAAAAAGCAGCAAAATTGGTATAAGCAGCAGATTATTTTTGGATCTGAAACAAAAAAGTATAAGCAACCATGTTAGATGCCAATTTTATTTTATTTTTTTTTCAAAATTATTGCTCTGTTCCAGAACCTATTAATTAAAAATATTTTGATTTATCATTTTTAACTTTTAACCATGTGTAAATATTTGTTGTCATTGTACAATTTATAAAATTCATTTTTTCTTGTGCGTATACTCCACCTATCCCCGTCTATTTATTTTGTAATTCTGCCTCTCTTCATTCTGTATTAAATTCTTTTGAATATAAACACCGTTATTTTCCGCCTTTTAGTTGATAGTTGATTAGTATCACATAGTATAAACTGCATATAATTGTCAATCTTTGCGAAATAACATCGCCGTCACTTAACTCTTTTACTTTAACGCCGTTCATAAAGTAATTGTCTCCATTGTACTCTCTTTAAAAGCAACTGGCAGAAGTTTCAAGTTTTTTTTGCTGTGCTGTCAAAACGATTTTTGTGTTCTTTTTTAATATAAACTAAACATAAATTAAACAAATCTAAAATTATTAAACAAATGCTGTGAAATAAAATCAGTGCCAAATATAATGTGTTTTCCAAGAGAATTGAAACAAGAACCAAACTAAACTAAAGAAACATACCTCCGACATACCTACAGACTGCTGTGAAAAAGAGTATGCGAATATTCTGCTGTGTGTGGTGAGTGTTAAAGTAAACATATTTACATATTGATAAATTGAGAAGGAAGATTAAATTGTTGATAATTGTTTAGAACCGAAAATTAATTGTTTTTCTGTCATGTGAAAATGCTGAAGTTTGCAAAGAATTTTTTGTGTATCATTTTGATCATATGTATATTTTTTGCTTGTGTATTTTATCTCCTGTTCTCCATTCCATTCTCCGTGTGCATGTTCGTTGTTTTTTGTTTAACTTTTTTTGGCGCACTTTTCTTTTGTTGTACAAAAGAGAACGCATGCCATCAAAGCGGTGACTTACCGTGCAAGAGTAAACGAAATGACAATAGTTGAATACCCCAAATATTCCCCTTTATCCGTCGTTCACTTTGCAACGGCATTCTTATGTGCAACAATTTTTCAGATGTTTTCTTTTATTGTATACCTTTATTGCGGTAGTTTACTTTGTGCAACATATTTGCCGGTATCTATAAGTTTGCGAAAAAATGGATGGATGGAGAATGATAGGAATGCAAAAAATATAGAAGACATCGAAGTGAATAATAAAACACGGCAATTGGAAAACAAAGTGGGTAAAGCAATAACTAACGGCGTTAGTTCGTCTGATGTGTGGCGGAAAACTATTTTTATACCCTCCATCACAAGGTGAAGTTTTGAAATTATGTATTACACCTAGGATGATTGGTATTGAAAATGGGTTATATCGGTCCACGTTTTGGTATAGCTTCAATATAACGGAACCCCTTAATATTTGGTATTTTTTTCTGTAATTAGGTATTTTGAGTAGTACAATTCCCCACCAAAGATGATCCACTTTTTATGATGGCCCCCATATAACCTTACTACCTCTTTTTCGGAATTTTGAGGAGTTTGGTAAGCTTTGTAAACGAATTGGCTGTTATTTATTAAAATTTCTGTTGGAAAGGTGGAAATTATCGTTTGTCGAATTGCCTCAGCATCAACATTAATATCAACATTTTTATCTTCATCTTTGTTTTATTACCGCGTTTCAATAATTGTGGGTAAATAAAATTGATTTAAAGACTTTGTAAATTTATTGTTACAATAATTAAAATCTAATAATTTTTTCATTTATATTAATTATTCCCTGTTGATATTCATCTGCAACGGAGTCAAGTCTTAAACCTGTACGACGCCGTTCATTTTGTGTTTAACGGCATCTTTGTTTGATTACAGCGTTTTATAATTATGGGTAAATAAAATAAATTAATTGACGATTTTACTTTGTATATTTATTGTTACAATAATTAAAATCTAATATTTTTTTCATTTGTAATAATTATTCCCTATTGATATTAATTTGCAACGGAGCCAAATGTTAAACCATTACATCGCCGTTCATTTTATGTTTAACGGCAATGTTTCCCATCGTTCTACTACTAATCTACTCCAATGACAGAAAGTACTTTAATATACAACCGAGAGTGAGTTCAATGAACAAAATCAACATAACTCTCTCGTTTTCTCTCTCTCTGTCTTTGTTTCACGGCCATACAAACATATGAGCGGCAACAAAAACCAATTTTGTTTTGTTTTACAATTGTGATTAGTTTTGCTTTAAAAAAGGAAAAAATAAACAAATATTTTAAATAAACTTTATAAAATATAAAACAAATTTTATAAAAGAAATAAACACATAATAAAAATAAATGGAGATACATTAAATTTCCCTGTGATATGTGCTGCTGGTGAATTACAAAATATATTGCAACATTTTCATATTGTTTGTTGTTTTTTTTTTGCGGTAAAAAGTGCAAGAGTAAGCATAAAAGAGATTACACCAAAAAAACGGAACACTGATAAATAAATGTATGTACAATTGTCCGTCCAACAGGTAAAAGGCAATTTGTTTTTGCTTGTGGTGGCCTATCAACCAACAGCTTTGCACTGAAGTCGGGCTTTTAGTGCTGCCCTCAACATAAATAGAGAATCGCATACCGTAAGTAATACCGTTATTTATTTTGTAATGGACGTTTTTGAAATCGTTTTCATTTCTTTAATATTTAAAAGTATACCATCGAAATAGTAGTCGTTTGGCATTTGAACAAGAATCAACAGGATCCTAGACAGTGGTAACTGCTAAATGAGGTTATGTTGAACATTGAACCTCAGTATTGTTTTTATACAAAATATTAAAAACAAATTGGGATTTTTATTGAATTTCTGGAATTTCAAGTAATCGCCTTTACTTTATTATACATATACGTACGTAATGGTAATTTTTTTTAAAAATTTTCATGGAGGCATATAATTTCACAACCAAGCCAAAATATTTAAACCGAACAGTCCGCGAAATTGAACGACTGAAGCTAATGGACAATGACATTATTGGATCATACCAATGCGGCTTCAGCCCTGGCAAATCCACTATTGAACAGATTTTCACTCTTCATCAGATCCTGAAAAATACCCACGAAAAACACATCGACACATTCCACCTATCCGATCAGAGGTTTTTAAAGCCATGTCTGCGTTCGGCATTCCTGTAAAATTAATACGGAAGAAGTCTCCTTCCTATCGCATATAAAGCTATGCTATGCAGCGTACTGTGTGAACGACTGAATCCAATGGTCAATCCCATTATTGGACCATACCAATGCGGCTTCAGGCTTGGCAAATCAACCAACCATTGACTTGATTTTCACTATGCGTTAGATCCTGGAAAAGACCTATACATTCCACCTATTCGTCGACTATAAATCCGCATTCGACAGCCCTATCCGTTCAGAGATGTTAAAATCCATGTCTGCATTCGGCATTCCTGCAAAATTAATACTGCTTTGCAGGATAGCTTTAAGTGGCACAAGGTCAGCAGTTAAAGTCAGAGAGTAACCCTCGGAGCCCTTTAATACCCAACGACAATTCAGACAGGGTCACAATTTGTCGTGTGATCTTTTTACCATTTCGCTGGAAACAGTCATACCAGATGTAAATGTGAACAGAAATTACATTCTGTACACTAAACAACACATGTTACTCGCCTACGCCCAAGACATCGACATAATGGGTCGTACATTGCGAGCGGCAACAGCAACCTTTGAACAAATTGAGAAGGAGTCTGTCAAAGTGGGTCTGGCAGTAAACGGCGAGAATACCAAGCTGGTGGTATCAGTTTGTCTTCGAGCGGCTCACAAGGAAGACATATTTTAAAAAGTATAATACGCCCACAGGCTTCAAAATAAAATTTTACAAAATGGCGGTTTGTTAAGCCTTCGCGCTTAACTAACACGTGTTTATCAAATTGGGCGGAATTCTTCGTATACGAATAATCGAGCAAGTCTTAGCGGGCCTACACAAAATATCAATTATTGAAGCTGAACTCGATTTTTTAATGATTCCGAAAGATCTATGGGTCGATCTGCGTTGACGGTGAATATCGCCGTTGAATGAACCATGAGTTGTACCATATATTCTCGGACGTCGACATAAATAAAAAGTGGACCAGTTGGATGGAAACAACTCGGAACATGGTCTTTTAAATTGCTGCGCGCAAGACCGACGGGCTTGGACATCTTTTTTAAGCTCGGCTTATGGAACAAATGTTCTGTCACAAGCCAACTAACAAGGCCGATAAATACGGTCACCCAGGGAGACCAGCTGGATATCAGCAGTCACTCAAGTTTACTGTTAAAATTCTTTATTGTGAATTGACTTCCATTATGAAAACGTGAACAAGGTCAAAATTGTTGACATTAGACTTCAGAAAAAACAACTGTTTTCCGATTTCGATTGCTACATGGGTGACCTTATTAATAGATCTTGCCAGCTATGTTAGAAGTGAGGTGGCCCTTAAGTCATTTACTATAAATTCAAAAAGGATTCTTGACTGTAAAGTTGCTCTACGTAATATTTGTCTGGTTTCAGGACATAGTGACAGAAATAAGTGATATGTTTGCTCGAGGAGTCGCAGTCATCCAGTCTAATTATTGAGAGATCTGTAGCCCTGCCTCAGCGGAAAATGGATGCAAGTTTTCAAAAACTATCTACCCTGTGTTCTCACGTCGAAGAAATACATCGCCGTTGTCTCATAGTTTGAGAGATAAGAATCATTGTAGGGATCATAACAGATCACTACGTTCCATATGTGACATACATGAAGTTGATTATTGCCGTTTATGTGAGGATGAGGAAGAGCTGGAAACAATTGAACATACACTCGTTAGATGTCCATCGATAAGTAACAGAAGACATCGACTGTTGGGCAATTGTGACGTTTTTATTATACTCTAGCATTCTTCCGATCCCAAAAAGGTCTTGAGCTTTGTTAAAATCTTGACATTGCTAAATTATCCAACAATTCTACACTCTACCAACTTCTATTACCCTCCCTTTGTCCTTTTTCCGTTTCAACTTTTTTTTGGTACCTGGGATGATGTCTCCGATTGATACGGCAGCTAAACATATGATGGCTTTCCATCCTTTAACCTAACCTAAGTCTGAAATCTTATAGAAAACGACAAAAGATTTTTGTTAGTAGGGTATTATTGGATTTGTTTTAAAATTTTTAAATTGAAACACGATTTCGAAAACTTCCATAAAACCAACTTTTCTATACATTTTTCTTAACTACAATTTACTTTACAGACAACCACACCCTCCTGTCATTCCCAACCTCTGCTGTGATACGCCACAATGCCCTGGAAACCATCAAACGATTTTGAAGAAGAAATTGTCAATTTACAACCAGATCATGATTTTATATTTGGTGCCCTATCCGAACCGGAACCACAACCATTTTATCCTAGACCACAATCGCATATCGATTATGCAGCCACTAAGAAGCGGCAATCACGTAAACAACAAGAAGAATATGAGGAGACGGGACGAATTAATAATCGTTTGCATGCTATAGCCCAGGTACAGCGTATAGCTGGCACTAAACCACTGGGTGAACAACCCACTCTAGATGATTGGAAAAACAATAAATGTAGTGAGAACGAAATTATTGCAATGATGCGACATTTTGGTTTGGGACCGAGTGTTGAAGAACCCCTAAGTGAAAATGTGACCATTGCAACATATCCCATTAAGAATGGTGTGGAAATTGTGCAAACTAAATGTCGAAAAATCCCACTACTATTCGATGATAATCTATTTAAATTGAAACCAAAAGATTCGTCGTCGTCGACATCTTCAAATTCTGCAAATAGTTTTGATAGTGCCAATAATAACAGTAATAATATTGTGGGTGCCCCGACTATATCAACAAGTAGCTGTGATACAAATTCGTATTCGTACCATACTCCAAGTACTGGAGATGATGCTGGCGATGACGATTCAACTGATGTATCATTTGGCAACTATAGAAGGGCTCAAGATCGGCGTTATTCATTGTTGATGAAGCAGGAGAATGCCATGTTTGATTATCGTAAACTGCATGAGGAAGATGCAGGAGCTAATGATACCACCCAAAGTAGCAGTTGTTATTCTATGGCATATTCCAGTTGTGGTGATGGTTATGAAACGGCAACAACCACCTGTAGTAGTAGTGGCCACAAATTAAATGTAAATGCCAAGAAATTTATACCATATAAAATATTAAATACCGATAATAGTAACAACAACAACAGCAGCATAAATGGAAATTATGGTAGTGGCATTAATTTCTCTTTGGAAAATAACACTGCTAATAATACTGAGGAGCAGGAGGATTCATTTACAAAACAGGCCCCCTCATTTCTTCCACGTTTTGTGAAACTGCCACGAAATAATTTACAAAAACAAACACAATTGGAAAGTGAAAATAATACCTCTTCTTCTTCGGTTCCACCCAGCTATGCAAATATTGCCAAAAAATCATTGTCAACAAAAAACGAAGATGAAAAAGAAATATTTCACAAATCAAAATCAAATTTAATGCAGCCAATTGTTAGTGACAATTTTCCACCACTTTCAAAGCAATCATCTGCGTCATCATCATCACATCAAACTGCTGCCGCCACTACCCATAAAATACGTTTTTATTCTCCCCGGGAACTCTACGAAAGAAAGCGTGGAACTGGAGCAGCAACTCATAAGTTTTAAGATTGGTATTTAATTTAAATTAAATTGAATTGTTTTTTTTTATACATACCTAGAATTATGAACTCCACTGTCAAATTTCTTATGAAGTATATATGCAAACTCTGGTTGTGTAATAGGTCTAGTTATAAGAAGTATTGAGTGATAACTTATAATATAGGCAACCTAAAAGCAATCGTAATTGTACTGGTCAGTTCACCCATAAGAACTATAAAAAAATCGGCTGAGGCGTGGGGTTAGTTGCCCACACTCGGAAAACCCCTCCTATTATGAAAAATCAAAGAAAAAGAATTGTCCTGGTCTGTTCTCTTCAAAAGGTATTTTTTAGAAGAAAGTTTTCTATTCGTCTTGGCGATATAAAAATGGTCATCATATCGTTGAACTTTAGAGGATGTGCGACTATGAAGGCATAAGCAGAATGGATCGGACGGGGCCGACCTTATGGTACCCCACACAACATCCACGAAAAGTCGGACGGGGCCGACCATACGATACCCTACACAACTACCACGGAACTCTAATTCTTTGCGGATCTTTATTTCGAGACTGGACAATATTTCGTATTATTTTCAACTTCTTGAACGATTAGCCGAACATCCTGATCCTGTGATGTTCGGCTTGTAGCCTATAGATCGACTCGAAAAAGCACAAAAATTATGTTTTCACTGCAAATTATAGGCGTTGTCCTTGACCATACCTGGATCCTCATGGAAAATTTCAAAGCGATAAGCTCTATATTTCTGCCCTCTAGTATGGTAATGGTTTATTTAATAATATCTGAATACGTAAGCACCTGTAAATATTTAACTGTATCTCCCGTATCCAAGACATACGACAATATAATTGGTATCAATTTAAAGGCCAACCAATCCTCTTAGATATACTATAATCTTCTCGGGTCTATGTTTTTCAGGGGTAAATATATACGGGTAAATATATACAGAATAACAAGTTTGTCATTTTTTACACAATAGTCGGTCCATTTGACCCTCTAAATATTGACTGATTTTTATCAAAACAGGCATGCTTATTCTTTGGCCCGATCCCCTTCTCCATGTAAAAATTGCGTCCTCTGGAGCGATCAAAAAATCAGACAAAAATAAAGTTTTTGATCAATTTCATCCCCTAAATATTAACCAATCTTTACCAAAAACAATAGGGGTCTTCATTGGCCCGAACCCATCCTACATGCAAAATTTCGTGAAGATTGGTCCATAACTGTGTCCTGTATCGTGTTTAAAAATTATAATGGACAGACGGACGGACACACATGTCTAGATCGACACAGCTAGTCGAGATATGTATGACGATTGGTATACTTATAGGTGGTTCTAGGACCAATATTTCGCTGCGTTACAAACGCTTGGGGCTGCACGAAGCTATAACATAGTTGTGTAGGGTATAAAACCGCGTAACGCGTTCATTGTGTGGAGCCCATCTCTGTGGCTCAATTTTAATAGTCATTTATGATCATCTTAAAAGCCGTTGTAGAATGAAGAAAATAGGAGAAAGAAGTATAGGTTAAAAGCTGTTAACTCTCTCCCATGACAACATTTCTAGCAAAGATGTAAATGTTTTGCAATAAGAAAAACGTTAGCATTTCTATTTCAAATCCAACAAAAAATTAAGTTTAAATGTTCGATAGTATCTATTTCCTCTTCATCCACGAAGTAAGTAATTCACCTCACTAATCTCAAAAAGGGAGATCTGATTCTGCAATGGCCTGTAATGATGCCTACAGTCATCTTGACCTCTTTCCTGCTCATAGAAATTAATGTTTTAGATCTTACTTACTTATAGCTGGCTTGTGACAGAACATTTGTTCCATAAGCCGAGCTTAAAAAAAAACATTTCCAAGCGAATCGGTTTTGAACGCAGCTCTTCCAATTTGAATGACCATGTTTCGAAATGTTATATTCCTCATGATATTTCTATCTAATTCGTGGCCTTCTTCTTCTGCTTCTGTTTAAGATCGCTACCATAGATTTTGCGGTCCTACATATTGCTTATCGGCGAACCACATTGAGCAAGTTCTCGTCAGGTACTTTATTTCCATTTATGTCACTATGATCTCGAACCCAATAAAGTCAAACAAATGCCAGAGAAAAGAATTACAATCGTGGACGATTCTGGAGTTTATAGTCCACGACTATTCTGCCGCTTTCATGATTTCCAAAATCTCTGCTTGAAAAAACGCTATAGTTTTTATTTAGTTTGTATGCCTTCTTGAACATATCAGAACAAAGCTTCTATCGGTCCACACCATCTAGTAAAATCCGGAAAATCCTCGATCGTTTCGAAAATGACGCTAAGGTGCGAGAGACTGGGTTACATTCGGCACTTTTTTAGAGCTATCATATCTCAGGACTTATTCAACAGATATAAAAATAGAATGGCTAGTTGTTGTCCTCTGATACTTATAGTGCCTCGATTTTCACAATCCTCCCTAGATATCCATTTTTCATCATTAAATAAATTTTGCAACGCAAGAAAAATATGATAATCGCTTGGTGCCAACTCCAGACTGTATGGCGGATGCAACCCAACCAAGCTCCCGAAGTTTCTGGCGAGTAACTGTAGATCTGTGTAGCCTAGCGTTGTCCTGGTGGAACACGACCCCTCTCCTGTTGGACAGTTCTAGCCGTTTTTGGCCAATTGTATCTTCAAACGGTCCAGTTGTTGATAGTAGAGATCAGAATTAAGCATTTGACTATATGGAAGCAACTCATAATAAATAATCCCATTCCAGTCGCACCAAATGCACAGCAGAATCTTCCTGGCCGTTAGTCCTGATTTGGCCACCGTTTGAGGTGCTTCACCGTTTTCGCACAGGGTTATCGTATGTGTTCAATTTATCATTCCGTTTGGTCGATCCATCCTATTTTTTCTGTTAATTGGTATGGTACCCAAACATCGAATTTCTTTTTTAAATCCAGCTTTGTGTAAATGGTTTCAAAAAGTTTTATGGTCGATTTTTAGCTCCTGGGCGATGTTATGACCGGTCAACTTCGACCATTTCTCCGTTTTTATTGACATTTTCATAATGGATTTCTTTTTGTCCAATATTTTTAAAGGTTTGCAAAAAAAGTCTAATTCACCTCGGGGTTATCTTCGGCATCTGAGGGGCACATTCGATCTAATTGGAATTCAGATCCACTAAAGGTTATATTTTATTTTAATATGCCACTCGATGTTCGACTTTTATGGCTATATTTTCCAGCAGCGGACCTTCACATCTCCAGGTCACGAGCACTATAAAAAAAAAACTTTTCTTTCGCATTTTCGTCAATACAAGCACGTTTGGTCTCATATATGTAATTTCGAACCATATTATAAAGATTATTTTTAAAATTCAAACCCAAAAATAAAAAATTTAAGGAAATAATATAGCACTATCCGTATATGGCCGAATGTGTACCCACTTTAAAATGCCGAATGTAACAATGGGCCTATTTCATCTCCATGATATAATGGTCCTGTGCCATAGTGTTCTTTTCTACTCTTACACGAACTGATTCGTCTAAAATATTTACCATAAATATATTTCATTATGTTAGTAATATTTATTTGCGGAATACAGATCCGGATGCCTACTTTTTATACCCTTCACCACACTGTGGTACAACAGGGTATTATGTCTTTGTGCAGATGTTTGTAATAGGCAAAAGGAAACGAGATAGATCCATGGTTCCTTTTGAGAATAAGCATAGAATCACTTTCTGAGTCGATTTATGCACGTCCGTTTGTCCGTCTGTTGATGTTAAATTGTAAACATAGTACAGGTCCCATTTATCATCCGATTTGGATGAAATTTCGCACAGGTCATTTATTTAGCCCATGGACGAACCATACTGAAATTGGGAAAAATCGGTTCAGACTTAGATATAGATCCCATATATATTTCCGTCCGATTTAATGTAAATGATGTACCAAGGTCCCTATATATCTTCCGATTTGCACGAAAGTTGGCGCAGCGTACTAAATTAAGTCTAGAATGACGTACGTGAAGGTTCATATTTAGATATAGCTCCCATATATATTTTCCGTAAAAATCTTTCGATATGCACTAAATTTGGTACAGCGTAATGAATTAAGCCTGTGCTGATTTGTGCTAAGTTTCGTGAAAATAATTTCAGATTCAGATATAGCTCCCATATATATTTTCGTCCGATTTAATGTAAATGATGCGCCAAAGTCCCTAAATATCTTTCGATATGCACGAGATTTGGCATAGCGCACTGGATTGAGTCCATAATAATGTGTGCTATGTTTCGTGGAAATCGGTTCCGATTTAGATGCAGCTCCCCCAAATATATATTTTGGTCCGATTTAAGGTAAATACCATGGTCCCTATATATCTCCCGATTTGCACGAAATTTTGCATAGCGTATTGAATTAAGCCTGGAATGGTGTGTGCTAAGTTTCGTGGAAATCGGTTCATATTTAGATTTAGCTACAATATACATTTTCGTCCCATTTAAGGT